TCAAGCGTCGCCACGTGCAAGCTGTAGGTAGCGCCAACCAGCAATGCCGGCGCCAAAACTCCTGGCGAGATCTTGAAACAAAGCAAGGAACCCATCCCCAAAGCCTGTGATCCCTCAAACCATAAAACGCGCTCTCCGACGCGTAAGGGTGTTGCTATCAGCACAGGTCCGCTCCAGTTTTCGCGCTTGGACCCAAGGGCAGGCAACTGAGTTGGAGGAAACTTAACCCTAAACTCTAAACCCTAAACTTTCCCGAAGACAACAATCGGAAAGAACAGAAATCGAACCCTGGAGGGCCATGAACCCTAAACAAACATCAAACCCCTTTGAGGGTCGCACTCGGACGCCGGAACAATGCGCCCAGCGGTCCAACGCCGAACTCCGGCCCTACTTGAATGGGATGCTCGTACCGAAACCCTGGGGTTGAGGGTTTAAGGTTTAGGGTTTAGGGCTGAACTCAAAACCCCAAAGCCCCCAAGCCCTGAACCCTAAACCCTACCCTAGAGACCCTTTAAACTTCTGGCCCCCACCGCTAGCCCTGCACCCCAAACCCTATAAACTCCGAACACGACACCCCAGGCCCCAAACCTTACCCCTAAACCCTAAACCCTGAACCCTAAACCCTAAACCTATAAACCCTAAACCCTAAACCCTAAACCCTAAACCCCGCCTCGGGTGGAATACAGGGCCGCAGAGAGTAGTGCCGATGATGGGGGCCACGGCCTCAGAATTCTTACTGCTGGTTAGTAGGGAATGGGGGAAGAAGGTATCCTATGTAATCCCCTTATATATACATATATATGTATACCCTTTAAGGGATGTTGTAGGGCACCCTATATAACCCTAAACCCTAGACCCTAAACCCCAAACCCTGAACCCTGAACCCTAAACCCTAAACCCTACAAAAAAGAAACTCAAAGGGTATATCATAGGGGATATAGGATACCTTATTCCCCCATTCCCTACGAACCAGCAGTAAGAAGTTGGCTCGGCGGCTGGGGGCGGATTTTTGAGGGTCGGTCAGGGTTTAGGGTTTAGGGTTTAGGGTTTATTAGGGTTTAGTAGGGTTCAGGGTTTAGGGTTTAGGGTTTAGGGTTTAGGGTTTAGGGTTTAGGGTCTGGAGTCCAGGGTCTAGGGTCTAGGGTATAGGGCTTAATTAGGGTTTAGGTTCTAGGGTTGTCTTATTAGGGTTTAGGGTTTGTGGAGTCTAACAGATTAAGGGCCTAGGGATGTTTTAAGGGTGGAGGTGAAGGTGCTGAATTTCAGATGCGGTCTCAGCTCGCTATCTCTTACGTAAGAATGCTTTCAGCGGGGGGGGGTTTAGGGTTTAGGGTTTAGGGCCCCTAGGCCCTTGTACCTGAGACCCAGGGGTGGGGGGCGTTTTTGTTTAGGGTTGAGGGTTCAGGGTTCAATGAAGAATACCCTTGAGCTTCAAAGTACTTCTCATGTAATGACTTTGGGGCGCAAGTAGATAAGAGTGATTGAGGTACATTTGGACCCTTAGCCCCTTAGGGCAGGGGTGTATGCACGCGCTGGGATTCAGATAGTACACGCACGGGCAGGGCTTGACATAACTGGGTAAGGTTACACCCGCCTTGGTTTTGGGGAACCTTTCTAAAGATCCTGAAGGTAGTAGACTAAGGGCCCTCTTAACGATAGACAAAGGGAAACCTTTAGGGGTACAACCTGAGGGGTACGAGTCTTAATCCTTTGACCTAGAAGCCCTGCGGGCTCTAGCAGCCTCGTACGCCCCACTTTTTTTGGGTGCTGAAGACCCTAAACCCGAAGCCCCTAAACCCTAAACCCTAAACCCCTAAACCCTTAACCCCCAAACCCTAAACCCTAAACCCTAAACGCTAAACCCTAAACCTTGAACTTAGGCCCTAAATCCTCCAAGTAGCATCCCAAAGCCCTGTTAAGATCGCTTTCTCAGCTGCCGGCTCGGAAGTAAAGGCCGAGGTCACGATCCTTGCTGTTCGGGTTTAAGGTTTAGGGGTTGAGGGTTTTAGGGTTTAGGGGTTGAGGGTTTCAGGGTTCAGGGCTTAGGGTTTACCACCCTCGCATGGGGTTTAGGGCCTTTGGAAAGTAGACATTCTCAAGCCATAAACCCTTGTTTAAGCCCCCCAAACCCCAAGCCCCAAACCCTAAACCCCAAACCCGAAACACTAAACCCTAAACCAGAAACCCTAAACCCTAAACCCTAAACCCTAAACCCTAAACCCTAAACCCTAAACCCTCTCTTCGCTCCCAACACCCAGAGTGACATCTGGACGTGGGGTCGGGCATTTGGGTTTGAGGATTTAGGGTTTAAGCTTTTAGGGGGGAGGGGATTAGGGTTAGGGTGTAGGGTTTTCGGGCTTTAGGGTCTTGCGTTGAAACGACCGACCGGGGCGTAAGCCTTGAGCAAGGGCAAAACACAACGCTCAGATCCTCAACTAAACCTTCACCCTCCCCCAAATCCTGAGGAATGAAGATTTTTGGTTCAAGGTTTTAGGGTTTCGGGGTTTAGGTGTTAGGGTTCAGGGTTAGGGGTTTAGATTTTAGGGTTTCAGGTTTTGGGGTTTAGATTGTAAGTTTTGGGGACTTCGGTTTGTAGGGTGTTCGATTTTAGGCCTGTGGGCTGTTTAGGACTTCAGGACTTTTTGGGTACCCGTCACTACTCAATACTTAAGAACCCCCCCCAAAAGATGGAAGATAATAATTCCTATGCTACCCTTATAAGGAAGCAAAACAAGGGTGGCCTTTTTGGCTGAAAGAGGGCTTATGAGGGGTCCCAGATTCCTAAATCATGTGCTGTAACCCTAAGGGTCCATGTACCTCATGATTATGTACTTGCAAGGGCCCCAAAGTCCCTTTATAGGAGGTGCTTTAAGGCCCAAGTATTCCCTAGTTAGGTACATGACATGGACCCTTAACGTAAGATGATGGCAAAAACCTCCGAGATCGCAGCGGCGTCAAGATCGAAGCTCGCCAGGACAGCCGTGACCTGTCGTGTTACGCGCCCTAAGCCTATCAACCCTATCAACCCTATAAACCCTGTGAACTCTAAACCCTAAACCCCAGAATGCAGGGCTTTGGATTCAGCCGTTCGTGTGACCCAGGGTGTTTACTAGGGTCTGAACTCTAAACCCCACCATAGCACCGTACCCCCCGAAACCGTTTCTACCCCTAAAAAATGAGACGCCTAAACTCGTAACCATACGTCGGCGCTTATCAACCCTAAACCACCCCCCTGCACCCCCAACCCTAAACCACCTCTAAACCCTAAACCACCTCAACAATACACCCCCGACCCTAAACCACCTCTACCCCTAAACCCTAAACCACCTAAACCACACCCAAACCCAAAAACCCTTAAACCCCAAACTGCCTCTACTAGAACCCCAAACCCGAAGCCCTCCTTGGTTAGGAGGCCCCTGCCTTGCGCAGGAGCATGGACGCCAAGGCCTGCTTGCGTTTCTGGGCTGAAATTAAATTGCCATTGCTGGCGTATTTGATAGTCAGCTGAGCCGTATCTACAGTATCCTTAATATGCTAACAGGCAACATGAGTTCAGTTCCATTTCTCCAGCACTCACTCTAACAAGTAGGTTGGCCAGGACAAGTATTTGAGAATCATTCGCATGCATCCTCATATGCCCAAAGAGGGTAAGTACTCATGGCCAGCCTCGTCGCTGCCGGCGTCCTGAAGTGCCGAGTGTCGCCCGGCACCAAGCTCCGCAGCAATCTGCCGAGTTGGGTTAGGGTTTTAGAGTTTAGGGTTTAGGGTTTAGGATTTAGGGTACTATAGGGTTCAGGGTTTATAGGGAGCAGGGTTTTCGGGGTTTAGGGTTTAGGGTTGGGGTTTAGGGTTTAGGGTACCCCCTCCCCCTGCTCAACTGCACATTGCCGATGTCTCTGGGAGCAGGGAGATGGGCAGGCTGCTCTCACAGGCCTTTGTACCCTTAAGAACGCAAACGCCCTAAGCCCAAACCCGCCAAAACCCAGGAAGCATAGCTTAGGACTTAGGACCAACCAAGACTAAACGAATTCGCACCCCCCCCCCCCACCCCGGTGCAGGAGTTCCATCGGTGCCCCCGGGTTCCTTACTTGAGGCACTCCACCCCAAAAAACCTTGCTCTGCTTCTCCTGGTATTTCTATGCTCAAGGTCACAGCTGTGGGAATTTCTGGATCCTTCGGCCAGGCGGCGTTTCTTGATAGTTGGAGGCCCTATAGTCCTCCATATAGACCAATGCAGCTATTCTCTGTAGTGCAGACCACCTTCTTTTGAGAAAACCCTTTGCAATCACTCCCAAAAGTCAGCCAAACATGTCCGATCCGTTGTTGCATGTGCGGAAGGGATCGAACTTGCGGAGCCCTTTGAGCATCCTAAATCCGAAAGTAGTACGGGCCTGGTTCTTAACCGCTGTCCAACAGGGACAATAATCGGGAACGCTCCCCTTTAGATGGGAAAGTAGTTCTTACCATAACAAAGTATACTGTATTGTGGTATATGTACTGTTTAATGCATCGTTCTACCATCTGCTTGACGGCTCTCCCCCCCCCCCCCCCCCCCCTCCCCCCCGTACAGGGTTCGGATCTCCCGTAAATTAAGGCATCGTACGCGACCCGTTTAAGCACAGGGCTCCTTGGATTTAGCGCTCAAACAGCATAGATGGAAGCGACAATGTCCTGGAAACTCGTCAACTGACAGGGTGCCCATGCTTAGGCTCTTGCCGGAACCCTTTTCCACACGATGCCCTGAGTAAGTAGGGACGATACACATGAGCCTCGAACACGCATTGCAGTATATTGCAATGTGAAGTATACAAATGTTGGCAGGCTCTTTGATGCAATGAACAGCAGATCTACAGAGAGTGAGCTGACAAGGACAATGCCGCTACCATGTGTACGCCGAACGCCTGGAAGTGTCCAGCACACATGAAACGCTGATCAAATGGGCGGCCTCGCTCGAGGCCCTTACCCTCGATTTTCCGTTGCTGCAATCACCTCTTAGAGACTCACGGGTGACTGGCATCCAACCGCCAGTCTTGCACTAGCGTCTGAGCCATCGCAATTGCAGTCCGGTTCCACCTGGGCTATTCAAAACATCGAAGCAACTGTTCGTTTCGCTATGAGCTTGCACTAGTGCTACACACAAGGTTTGAAAGACCGAATTTCATAACAACCAAGCCACAGAAGCACATGCTGCATTGTTCTACAACTTGACAACGCTTGCCTCCGCCTCTCCGCAGGAATGCAGGATCCAATGTCATGGAAGGCGGACAGATTGTCTGTATTCATTGCTTCACTCAAACAGGCCTGCGCTGATGTCATCACCACAGTCTGCCCAATCTTGTACAATCCGCCACCGTCAGGGGAATATGCCGAAGGCCTGCGTGCTACTGTGAAGAGCTTCTGCTCCACGGTCCCACTGCAGTCATCTCCGACTGACTCAACATGCGCTGTGACCTCGTACCGGGCATCGGAAACTGTGGCCGACAATGAGTCCCACGTGTCCAAGCAGCAAACTACGTACTTTCTGCGCGGCTCTCGTTGAGAGAATCGGGGGAACAAGAAACCAGCACCATTCATGATCAGTTGGGCTGCAGGAGGTTCAGAAGTGATGCGCACGTGGATCTGCTCGCCAGAGGACCCGTCCTCCGGCCCCATTGCAGTTCCGAGCTCCAGGCGGGGACCTAATAACAAGTGTGCGGGCTGCGTGGTGGAAACATTTTCCGGGATACAATGGCGACAAGGAAGACCAGGGCTGAGGTACGAACCAGCAAGAGAAACGAGGCCAGTCAGCATTTCGCCTAACCAAGCAGACAAGGCTTCCTTGTCACTCCACAGGTCCGATGTGTGCCCCGTCTGGATGAACGAGTCGTGCAGTGAAGGCGACAGACAAGCAACAACCTGCACAGTCTGGTTGGTGCCATTGACACGAATACCGAATACCTGTCTTTCGGAACATGCATGCGAACACCACAATGGACATGAAGTACCAACGAAAACGGGCGCAAATGCGCAAGGCTTCTGCACCATGGTCAGCGTGATGTTTGCGTTCATATCCAATGCTGGGACGTACCATTCAGGAGTTCGGGCAAGATGCTGCCAGCTGCGCACCTCATGGAAAATCTTGGCTCCGCCTGAGCCGGTCATGGATCCTGTGATAGCAAGATTCTTGTCGACACCAATCCTAATCACGTGGACTGTGTATACAGTTGGTTTGGGCCAGCCCGTGGCTTCAACTGTTATTCGGCTGTAAAGAGGCCCAGCTGGGATAGCGAGCTGGTACTCTCCAGTCCTTTCCGCCCTGTCTTTAGCTGAAAACAGCAGCACTGGTTCGACCTCCTCTAGCAAGGGATGCACACACTTGAGGAATAAATGGGAGGTGTGAGCTCCAACCTCAAAGAAGAAGACGACCGAGTCAACATCCGCAGGCAAAACAAGAGTATTGTGATAGGCTTCTTCACTGGCCGGGTACTGCAAGTATCCACGGTCAAAGGAATATCTAGTTAGCTGCGGTTGCGTGCTTTGTACATCCAGCACGATAAGCATCAAGACCGCTAGCCCACTGACTGCACATAGCCGGGACACCAAGCTTGCTAAGCTTCTCAAGACGGCTCTCTGCTTGGACAGCGTCTTTGGCCCCGAAGTAGTGTGTTCAAGCTGACGGCTGGCAACCGCTGTGAACTCGTCCGCCTCAATCTGAGGTTGTCTCCATTTGTCCAGGCCAGAGGACGAAGTAGACAAATCAAGTATGTGAAGTATCAGCGTCGTCAGAAATGTCAGAAAATTAAAGGAAGAAGTAGCCGAAGCTTCGAGCAGGCTGGCAGCCACTACAACCGACACAGCAACAGCAAGCCAAACCAGCCTCACTGCCAAAACAGGTTTCCCAAGTTCCAAGATCACCTGCTGTGTCTCCAACACCTCGTCATACTCCAGAGCAGCTGTCGCGGTCAGCATTGCATAGTAGAGCGCAGCGGCATGCATCACAAACCTCAGCAGGTTATTATACTCGCCATAGACTTGCTTTTGAGCGGCTTTGCTTGCTATGTGAGGTATCCCTATCTCCCGATGAAACAAACCAATCAAAACGCAGCCTTGAAACAGGAAAAAGACCGCGAGCAAAGAGAATCCTTGGGGAACGCACTCCATCACGACCCACTGCCCCGCGAGGTGGCTCGAGGCAAGGATCACGTGTCGACGAAGGAACGCTGGGAATTGTACAAGAAGCTGAGGGTGCGTGCAGTATTTCGCTGAAACAGATTCGTCTGCTTTTGTGGCATTTGCAAGTTGCCACGTTTCATCAAACAATACAATCCACCCTTCAGGTGTTTTCAGCCGGGCCCAAATTTTGGTGCGGAATATGTTCGGTATCCAGCGTCGCACGCTGCTTGTCAGGGCGGACGGCAACCGTTTTATGCTGAATTTGGCACTTTCACGTCGTGTCTCCAGCACCTCCACTTGGCTGCCAACTTGTAAGGGAGCGACATTTGCCAGCTTGCTGTTTGCGTCCGGCTCCGTAAACAAGAACACATGACGGGTGATTTGGTATGCCTCCGGCAGCTCCATGCCCAGGAAATCCTCGCTTTGCAGTGATGAAGCCGTTGGCGAACTGCCGCGGAAAATCAAACAAATTATGATTGCAACCTCGTACACGATAATGCAAGACCCGAAGCACAGGCAAGCGACAAACATCAACCCCACACCTGCTACAAGGACGTGTCCTGTCGACCTTAACCGCTCCACAGCAGAATCCCACATGCCCAGGAGTGCTAGGGCTCGAAAAGGCAAAGGCTGGAAAGCCATCTGGGCCAAGCATGAATATTTCTGGCCATCCTGCTGCCTGCCTTGCTTGCAGAGGAATAACGTTTGCCCAAAGATGTCTTCAGAGCGCGGTACCAGCAAGACCATCCACGCGGACCTGACGTCCGTAGGATCTTTGGGGAACATATGCAACTCCATGATTGGTTCGTACTGCGCCTTGTGGAGCACCTGCATAGCCAAGCGGGTTTGCAAGCGCGTGCTTGCATACTTGCTCGCAGCTTCTTGGAGCTTCTTCTTATCCTGTTTCAGAGCGGCATGAAAGGCTTCTTTCAAATGTCTCATCATCGGCAGAGATTCCGATTTTCGTACCCGTACTTGTTGTAGTGGTTGGGCACATGAAGCGTCCGATGCTATGTACATATTCAGAGCATCGAAGAAATTTAATTGCGGGTCCTCGAAAATCAGAGATCGCACGTCCTCATGGCTTTCGCGTGCAGCAAAAGCACACACCGAAGCGTGCTGCAGGCTGGTGCTATTCTCTACGTGATTCCCTGACCGCACCGCAACGTTTCCCAGAAAGAGCTGAACGTGGAAAGATGCAAAGAGTCGAGCGCTAAAGATGCACATTGGATTGCTTCCTTGTCTGTGGCCCTTCAGAGAGAGAGAGCCTGTACCATGGCAGGTAACCACATGGAGATCACATCTGGGCAAACCGCACGAGAGTTCCAAGCCAAATCGCTGAAGCAATATCTCACGCAACGTGTGTTGCTTTCGGAGACTAGAAGACAGCGGCAGTCTCATCTCCGCAAGGTCACAACAACGGGATTGAGCACGAAACTACCGACAGTAGGACCAGGGGAGGGCCTCGTCCTTAATGGCAAGGAGGGCCGCGTGAAACTGCAGCGCTGTGTGCTCGCAGTCCACCTCCATGGTCGGGTTTAGGGTTTTTCCGTGCTTCAGATGCCTGGTGTAAGAATCCACCCTAAACCGGAAACATCCTAAGCCTTAAACTGCTGCTGCAGGGGTGATTCATGGGCACCCCCTAAGCCCGTAATTACCCATCCCTGGAGGTTGCAAAACTTTCGACTCTGGGTTAAGGGTTTAGGCTTTTCTGGGGCTTATGGCGTGACAGTTCTGGCGTGCCAGAGTGTCAGGGATAGTTGAGGTATGCAAACTGGACAAGCTGCGGGGAATCGTGCTTACAAGGCTTTCGAAGAAGAGCCTTACTTACTTGTGAGGGCGGCGCAAAGCGGCTTACGGGGTTTATGGGGTGTATGCAAGGTTTCAAGGGTTTATCGGGCTTTACGCTTAAAGTTTAGGGCGTTTAGGGTGGATCCCTGAGAACGATGCCCGTGTGTGAAGATGTGAGCACAACAGCCTCCACCCCCACCTCCATGGCACCCTGAACCCTGTAAACCTGAAGCCGGCTTAAGCCTTCCACGCTGAACCATACTGAACCTCAAACCCCGAACCCTAAGCCCTTACTAACCCCTGATTCTCAAGATTCCCTAAACCCGAGATCCTAAGCCCCAAACCCCTACAATCCCCTTGAGCCTCTTTGGTGCGCAACTCCAGCCGCTGCACCACGACCACGGCGAAGTAGTTCACGCGGCCGTTGCGCCTCCGGCGGAGTGCATAGGGTTTATTTAGGCTAGGGCTGGGACGTTTAGGGTTTATTTCGGGTTTCTTGCATCCTTCCCAAGTACCACGTATTTGCCAACATTCTGCTTGTGCAACTCCTTTGAAGCCATTAACCTAGTAGGCTTCGGCCAGGATAGGCCAGGAACCCACCGACCCTGGCACATCAACTCAGCTTCACCATTTCGCAAATCCTGTCCGCCACCTTTAGGTTATACTGAAACGCATCAAGACAGCAATGCATCCACCGGACAACGAAGACAAAAATAAGTTTAGCACTTTACTGGACCGGTAAGCCCCGGATGCATTGCAGGTCTCACTGCAGGATACGCAGCTTCTATGCAGTCTCAAAATGTTTTGGCTCACCTTTCGGAAAGCAACGGTGCGACTGCAGAGAGAAACATCGAGCGCATCAGCTGCACCTCAAAATGAATCTCCTCAGAACTCATCCTTGATGGCCTTGACCGGAAATGCCTTTACAACGGTCTTGGCGGGCTTGGCTTTGATCTTCACCTCCTTGCCGAACATCATCCTCTTGCCGGCCTTGGTGGCCGCCTTCTTGCGGGTCTTGATCATCACCAATCCGGGCAGGGTGAACTTGCCGGCCTTCTTCAGCTCCTTGGCACCGATCTCAGCCAAAGCGTCCAGCACTTTCATCACCTCACTCTTCTTCAAGCCGGCGCTCTCGGCCGCCTGCTCGGCGATCTCACCCTTCGGAGCAGCGCGGACTGCCTTCATCGACTTCATGCTCTTCATCGCCTGGAGTCAAAAAACCAAACCCGAAAAATCCGAACGGGCAAGCGTGACATGACTGACGCACACTGGCATGCACGGGATTTACTAGCACGCACTGGCTCTACTAGATGACGGCATGCGCAAGGCCTTCATGGCCTTCATTGCCTTCATTGCCTTCATAGCTTTCATGGGACCCATGGCTTTCAAATCGATGCCAGAGCAAGGGAGGCTGCAGAACCCGGCTACGCCAGCGTGGGCAAAACGGCTGAGGTGATCGGAACTCCGCACGTCGAACCGCAGCCCCAAAACCGCAGAACACATTCTCAACCTTCCGCAGCCCTCCACAACCCTGCCACAAAGCTGTGGCTCCAGTATGCTCCTCTAGATCTTCGGCTTGTGTGTCAAGCCGAGCGTGGATGCTTCAGGACCTATACTAGCTCAATGGGGTGTTTTATTCTAGGCCTGAGCCGCAAGCTTCTAGGCTACGCGACGAACCTCCTCGCAAGCCCACGAAACAACTCCAGACGACAGTCCGATTGCTCAGACTTTGTGACAGCCCTCCATGGCAGCTAGAACCCTAAAGCCCGGGAAAACCCCTGCGCAGCTGGAATATACAATCTCTGCCACCGACGCACCACACGCAAGGGGGGGGGCGGGGATGGTTCGCGCAGAGGGCGACTTCTCTGCAGTCTTCCCGCGCACACACTGTCTCGACCCTGGCACATCAACTCAGCTTCACCATTTCGCAAATCCTGTCCGCCACCTTTAGGTTATACTGAAACGCATCAAGACAGCAATGCATCCACCGGACAACGAAGACAAAAATAAGTTTAGCACTTTACTGGACCGGTAAGCCCCGAATGCATTGCAGGTCTCACTGCAGGATACGCAGCTTCTATGCAGTCTCAAAATGTTTTGGCTCACCTTTCGGAAAGCAACGGTGCGACTGCAGAGAGAAACATCGAGCGCATCAGCTGCACCTCAAAATGAATCTCCTCAGAACTCATCCTTGATGGCCTTGACCGGAAATGCCTTTACAACGGTCTTGGCGGGCTTGGCTTTGATCTTCACCTCCTTGCCGAACATCATCCTCTTGCCGGCCTTGGTGGCCGCCTTCTTGCGGGTCTTGATCATCACCAATCCGGGCAGGGTGAACTTGCCGGCCTTCTTCAGCTCCTTGGCACCGATCTCAGCCAAAGCGTCCAGCACTTTCATCACCTCACTCTTCTTCAAGCCGGCGCTCTCGGCCGCCTGCTCGGCGATCTCACCCTTCGGAGCAGCGCGGACTGCCTTCATCGACTTCATGCTCTTCATCGCCTGGAGTCAAAAACCAAACCCGAAAAATCCGAACAGGCCACCGTGACATGATGTGACATGATGTGACATGACTGACCCATACTGGCACTGGATTTACTAGCAGGCACTGGATCTACTAGATGACGGCATGCGCAAGGCCTTCATGGCCTTCATGGCCTTCATTGCCTTCATAGCTTTCATGGGACCCATGGCTTTCAAATCGGGAGCACAGGCCAGGGAGGCAGCAGAACAAGGCTACGCCAGCGTGGGCAAAACGGCTGTGGTGATCAAGGCCATGCAGACCAACCTTAAACCCTAAACCCTTAAACCCTTTTGACCCCGCGAGCTCTGTGAAACCCTAAACCCTAAACCCTAAACCCTAAACCCTAAACTCTGTGGTCATAGATGGGCAGAGAGCCCGGACAACACTTGGGCCCCATCCCACGCCCCAAACTTGCGACTCGCGAAGCATTCCCCTCCCCCCCCCAACCCGAGTACCTTAAGTGGCCATTAAATTGGGGCTATATGACCCTACTTTTACATGATACATGTACCCATGAACCTTCGACTGAGCCGAATTCCCCAAAAACTCTATCACCCCCAAAGTCCTACTTCCCTAAAACACTAGTTCCCTGAAACCCTGAAGCCCAAAATCCTAATGCCCTCATACAAATCCCAATACCCGGATATCAAAAAACAAACACATACATATTCGAACCCTACTCTACTGCTCAAATACACTAAAACCCTATACGCCTAGTACCCTACCCTACGCGTATCCTAATATCCAAATACCCTAATAGTATATATTTGGGCCCGATAGCTTCTATATAGGAACCCCTTTAAGGCCCAAGTATAGGGTTTAGGGTTTAGGGTTTAGGGTTTAGGGTTTAGGGTTTAGGGTGTAGGGTTTAGGGTTTATAGGTACATGGACCCTTATAAGGCTAGTACCCCAATATATGCCCGCCAATCCCAACCTTCGGGAGATGACGCCCCTCGGCCAGCCCGCTGGGCGCTTCTTCGAGCGGCAGCGCGCGCCTGGGCGGCTTGGGGTTTGGGGCTTGGGGGTTTAGGGTTTAGGGTCTAGGGTTATTGGGGTTCGGGTGATACGGCTTGGGGCTTAGGGTCTAGGGTTTGGGGTTTCGGGTTCAGGATTTGGTGCTTAGTGGTTAGGGTTTGGGGTTTGGGGTTCAGGGCTTGGGGTTCAGGTGCTCATCGTTTCGGGGCTCAAGCTGGGGAGCTGGCCCTGTTGGAGTTGCAGATCCCTAAATAACCCAAAAAAGTTTGGGGTTTAGGGTTTCGGGTTTATGGAACCCTTGATGGGGTAAGGTTGTAGAGAGCTTCTCCAGGGTTTCGAGGGTTGAAGTTACGGGCTTTTGTCTGCCACAAGGCAGTGTTAGAGGCATTTGGGGGTTTGTGGCTTAGGGATTTAGGGCTTGGGGTCTAGGTGTTTGGGGCTTGAGGTTTCTGTTTTCAGTTCTGGGAAGAAGCCTGTCACCGTGTCCTGCTCCAAATGCTTGACAAGCCCCGACCCCCCCCCCCCCGCCACTAAACCCTCAACCCTCAACAAAGTTGTTTCAGACAAACAACCCGGAAACGAAAACGTGAGCCAAGAGATGCAATTGTCAATAACTACCTACACCCACCCTAAACCCTGAACCCTAAATCCTAAA